GTTCCGCCAGTCAGCGCTGGCAGATCGGAGCGGGGAGAGGGGAATCCAGCCCTCCCCCTGTCACGGCAGAGGGCTGTGACAGGATCGAGAGGTGAGCGAACCCGGTATGTGTTCGCTCACCTCCCGATCTACTGAGCCGACCTGTGACAGTCTCATTGTCACAGGTCGGCTAGAACTATGAGGTGAGTGAAAAGCACTCACCTCATAGTTCTCCTTTAATTCAATTTAGTTTTTCATTGATCAATATTTATTGCATTTTTAAAGTATCCTCACTTTACAGTTTTTTTTATCCACAGGTGCCTAAAACGTTTGCACAGGACTGTACGTCTTATCTGGAGTGCTCACTTTAAACAAGTTGCTAACAATAGCAAAAAAAAGTAACACCGCTTATCATTAAAACCTTTTCACCAAACCCTACAATTCTAAATAATGAATCGATGTTCAAATCTAACAAAACATTGTATATGTGTCCACAAATTACTGTGATCTATGTGTAAAAATCTCAGACAAGAATAAATATATATAACAGGAAACCGGGCAGCGTGTAATGATGCGCTGCCCGGCTTCCTGATACAGGAAGTACTCGTGCTAGGTATCGGAGCATTTGAGTGATACTAGTATCGGTATCGGTATCGGTGCATCCCTAATATATATAGATATTGACTACCAGTGTGAGTAAATCTCTGTTAAGAACTCAAACTAAGACACATGCACCATTGCAAATTTATTCATCACCATACTAATGTATATAACATAGTGAACAAGTAAGTGATCCAAACAAAAGTGAATTGTATAAGCATGTATATAAATAAAAGAGCAAGTTGTTCTCTAATCACTTAATAAATAACCAAGAGGAAATAATTCTAAAAGTTCATTTAAGTAAAATAGCTGTCGCTATTTTTGAAGGGTGGAAAAGCCAATAGCGCGAATATTTTTGTTTAATATAAGTTGCTAACAGGCTTTCAACAAGCTTGAAGTAGTGCTGAAGCTTAGTGAAGCCTGCTAGCAGTTTGTTTAATGTGACAGTGAAACCTTTTCTCCCGATATAAGTGAATAGAATTGCCAAAGCAGCTTACAAAGAGGTCAGAAGCATCTCAAAATGCACTTATTGCATACTGCTTTTACTTGCTTACACAATCCCGCACCTAAAATATGTCTTCTGGCATATCAGACCCAGTATTAGTCTAGAATCGGTATGATATGATCCAGTAGTATTGTAGGGTATTGCTCACTCTGTAGCTACATCACAACTTTTTTTTCAGTATATATTTCCCAGTAGTGAGTCAGCATGTACCCCAACCCAAACGTAACAGGAGTTACCAGCGACCTTTCCTTCTGTTACTGGCTTTTTCGTATGTGCGTTCATTCATATGCATCCAAGAATGACTAAGTGCTCCTGACACCGCTTCTGAGGAACCTCGCACTGTTCCAGGCTCTGGCTTTTAGATGTTACAGGATTAACAACAAAGGCTTAAGACAGGCGGAAGCAATTGTTCCTGGAAAAGACTCAGAAGCTTTTACCAACTAATCATAGAGATGTACAGTCTGCTCCGGACACGGTGGACAACTTTCTGAGAAATGCATTTGCAGTTTTAGGGTAGGAATGCAGAAATAGATGATTATCAGATATTTAAAGAATGGTGATCAGTTATTATACATTCTGGTAGTGAAGGTTGGGTTCATTTGGTTACATCAGCACACATACATGCTGCATCCTTAAGTGGGAGAAACTCTTCACTTAAAGAAGAACTCCGGGTATCATTGTTTTATCTAAATTCTCTTTGCCTTTTTAATAAAAAAACAACCCTTTCTGTTTGGGAACTTTAATTCTTGGGGTTTGTAGATCACCCTTATTAGTTCTTTAATGGGTGACTTTTTTGACCAATCAGGAAGCTTGGGGCTAGGGATGCACTGATACCAGTTCAGATACCAGTGCCGATACTTGGCATTTTCATGAGAACTACCAGGGTTGCAGCGGTTGCAGCTGGGACCTGGCTCTGGTGCTCCACCACTGTCCTGAAATCATTAGTCTGTATTGTTTTAGAAAAACTGTCACATGACAATAAACAAAAATGTATCAGTACTTGTATTTGTGAGTACTTGGGCAAGTATTGGTACTTGCATCTGTGAGCACTTGGAAAGTATCAGTGCTTGTACTTGGAAAAATGGTATCGGTGCACCACTTTTATGATAGCTGCCTCCTAACTTTTGAATTTTTCTCTAGTGTAGTCTTGGATCTGGAAAAGTATCAGCACCTGTACTTGTACGGTACTTGGTATCGGTGCATCCTCACATGGAGCTTGACTTTTACAGTTAAGGTGCCCATACACCTTACGATTATCGGACGAAACTTTTCGTCCGATGATCGAACCGTCGTACGATTTTCGTACGACGGCCCCATCCTGCCCCGATTATCGAAAGGTTCAATCAGTGGTAGTTAAAAAAAACACCTGGACGACTTGCGGTAATTAAGCCCAATTATTTTCGTTTGCGCATGCGCAGTGTTAATCGTACGACTTTTGACGGACGGAAACGCCACCAACCATGCGAACATCGTACGATCGACCAAAGTTTTCAAACATGCTTGACCTTCAAAAGTCGTACGATTGTACAGTACTATCGGTCGGGCACTCTATTCACACGTTACGATTGTCGTACGAAAAGTCGATAGCATACGATTATCGTACGATAATCGTAAGGTGTATGGGCACCTTAACAGTCAAACTTTATATATGACATTCGCTGTCTATAAATCAAAAGCCAGATGATCATTTGGATTTGCAGTTTTCACTGAAGCAAACTTCTGAACAGTATTCTTTTTATCATATGCTCAGTTTGACCTGCCAGTTCTGTAAAATGGTTTCATCACATATAATACCTAGTAATCATTATGTAGTAATGTTTGGTAGCAGCTTGTCCTGCTTTATGGCCAAAATCTATCATTGCTTGACTCACTTCAGTTTGGGTTAAGGTGATCCATTCCACAAAAGTTGTACCTTTGCAATGTGCCATTATGAGAATTCCACTGCACCCATTCTTCCTCCCAAACAATTTCTCACTGCTGTTTTCCACCCAACACAAACTATTTGAAATGGAGTCTTCCAAATCTCCCTTTGGCTGCTCCCTGTGACACCTTTATTTCCTGCTCAGCAAATCATGGACTAGCCTGATCTGCTGCACTTCTTGTTCCAAATTGTTGGCGAAGTCCAGATTAGCTCATGTTGGTGTGCAGCTTGCCTTGTATGTTTCCTTTGCCTATGCATAATCTCAGTTTGGATTTGGTAGTTTATAAATAAGTTTTATTTATGATGTGGTGAATGCATGTATTTGCAGATATTCTAATACATGTTTTTATTATTTCCCTGTGAGCAGGACAGCCCCGATTTCTTCAAGATCTATGTCGGATTAAAATTCGCCACTGTATAGGACTGCAGAACCTCAAGCTACTGGACGAGCTCCCTATTGCCAGGGTCATGAAGGACTACTTAAAACACAAATACGATGACATCTGAGTGTGTCCACTGCAGCAGAGACTTGTTGCGTCATTTCAGATGTGATTATTCCAAAACTGGGGTAGGCTGTTGTCTTGCACAAGTATATCCTATGCAATTTCTGATGTGGGTGGGAGTCAGAAGGCAGGTATACATTTTTATATATTTTTGTTTTTGTTTTAATATTATTTTCCCTGGTTTTTTTTTTTTATATGGTGTGATAGAAAGTCTTAATCTTTTGAGATCCAGGTTTTGAGGTCCACACTTTAAGTTTCACTTGAAAGAAGAAAACACTTAACACTTTATGACATTTTCTTTCTAATATCTGACACAGAGCAAATGTGGCCCCTATCTTCAAACACACGGATTAAAATTGTACCTGTCACCTGCCTGCAATAATGGCAACCATTGTACGGCATGAGCCTGAAGGCAGCTTATCAGTTTGCTAGGAGCATGCCTCCACATCCTTTCTAGTTCTTAGTGATTTGCTGGGCTGCGTATGTCACGTTTCAGCCTACAAAATGGCAGTCTTTGTTGTATGTAGATTGCAGGGACACATTACGATCAAATTGTGTATATGATTTTGCTGTACAGCTTGCACTGGTAATACACAGGATATTTTTTTTGGCCAATACGAAAAAGGTTTGAGCACCTCTTAAGCATATTTTCATGTCCGAAAAAGTACTGCTGAAGGACAAACACAAATGTTAAGATACCAAAAAAAAAAAAAAAAAAAAAAAAAACAAAAAAAGAAAAACAAAAATTTTAAAAACCCCCCCCCCCCCCCCCTTTTTTTCTTCTTCTTGAGACCCCAGAGTCAGTTATGTAAATGTTAATCTGCCAATTAGCTTAAATTATCCTTTTAATTCAGGAGCTTTTCTTTACAAAATTGGTTGAACTGTGAGTGCACATTTACTGCATCTTGCATGCATTTGTTTGCGGCAAGCATGCAGACTGCACTTATATCCAGGCCATTTCCTCCATTGTGGAATTGAATTTGTTCACACACTGCTAACAGGAAGAAGATCCCCAGTGGCTGGAATATGGGGTCAGCCACCTACAGGTCTCAGTCCTGTAAATATAACTGCCCACTAGAAGACAAACGTGTGAATAGCAGTACATCAGATATTCTGTTCATTAAAAACTATAATTTATGCAAAAACCACAAGAAAAACCCCAAATATCACAAATTGGATTTACTCTGGAAGAAATATGTCTCTCTACGATGGTCAGCAGTTGCAGACATCAGGTGTTTCCTTGTGTTGGATTAAAGGTCCTCCTGTTTGTGGCCAGAATTACTTGTGTGCTGTATTAGATACAGCCCAAGTCCACTAAAGTACCCCCATCTTGTTATTTCTTAAATTGACTATTCAGAAACCCTTCAGTATCCATAAGAAAAAGAATTAAGCTATCTGTAATCCTTTCTATAGGGATAAGGCAACAGAGTTAATCAGTTCCATAGAACCAAGCAGCTTGGTTACATCAAAATTGTTCTTTTTCCCTGTGCTATGATATGTATCACTTTACCTCCTTTTATTTTTAGGCAGCATTATGTTTGCAGTTTAAACATAGTTTTATTCCTCTTTCCCCTTCCCCCTGCTCTGTGACTTTTTCTCTTATGTGTATGGTGCTATGGTGTCTTATTTATATACATAAATAATAAAAGTTACATTTTGAAAAATGTCATGCCGTGTATCATTTGGGTAATGGGAAGGTTGTTTGGTTAGTGAAAACTTTGTAAAATTTTAAAAAAGGGTCTCATCCACTATAATAACTCGAGGTGCACCGGTATGAACATTTCAAAACCGAAATGAAAAAAATGTCAGGCCGAAAATGTTTTTTATTCTAACTTTTTCAAATTTTTTTTAACTTTTTATTTTTATTCATTCTTATTAAATATTTTTTACTTTACTTCTAGGGGCTTTGGGGAAATATTAGAGGTCAGACCTCTAATATCTTTTTCTGCAGCCCTTGTTATAAATGAACAGGAATCCTCTATACTGAGTTTTCCTGTTCATTCATAACTCAGTGATCGCTGAGGGTTTGTAAATAATTGAGGACAGAGTATGTTTACTATAACCACAATCATGAATGAACAGGAGGTGATGTCGATCACTTCCCATTCATTCATAATTGAGGATACAGTAAACATACCATGTCCTAAATTATTTACAAACACTCACTGAGTGTTTGTACCTCGCTCTCCATCCTGACAGCTGTCACAGGAGACGCCGGCCGCTTACAGCGCTCTCCTCCCGCAGCTCTCTGCCTCCTGTGACAGTTTCTCTCCACCAGGCTGGGACACAGAGCAGCGCCCAGCGGGGAGGAGAGAATAGGATGCACCGCTATATCGGCAAGAGCATGGCACTTTCGGCATTTTGCCAAAAGTGCAATTTTCGGACGATATATCGGTGCATCCCTAATAATAACTCCAGGTCTATGAATTCATTTTTAAATACTTATCTTTGTGAAAGAAAACACTGAATGATTCTCCAATAATTCACATCTTTCTGGCTGCTATTACTGCCTGCCAGCCCCCCCATGCACGAATCCCAATTTGGGGGCATTCTCTATTTGTGGAGTTCAATCAGAGCTCACCCCCTCTGCTGTGAGCGCATCTGTCAGAACATCCTGTGTGTTTACAGTGACCCTAGAACAGTGTTCAATGAAAAATACTTACAGATCCCCACTCTGTTTGCTCCAGTTTCCATCCACTCTGCTTAAATCCCTGACTGTGCCCTCTCCAGCTCTTGTCGCCTCAATCTGCTACCATATCTGTCCACTCAAACAGCATGAAGCAAATATCGCCTGGTGCCTGAGACCAGTGCTGTCAGACACTGCCCGATATTTGTCTTCCACTAAGTAGGTCAGACAGCAGTGGGCGTGGGGGCATGCTGTTGAGCATACTAGCTCTGAATCTACTGCACCAATCCAAACAGTGCATATAATGCAAGAATGAAGTTGATCTACCTTCTCAGACCCAATATTCCATGGGAACCATGGGGCTCAGCGTCTCTGCCGGACCCAATCAGCAAAATGAAGTGGAAAAGAGCTGGCACTCATAAGAATCCTCTTAATGGCGTCTCTTTATTGAAAAGGCATAAAAGCAACTACAAAGATTGCTAACATGTTTCAGTCCACCAAGGGACCTTAAGCATAGCCAAGCATGTTGCACTTTGTGCCTTGCAGGACAGAATAAGACAAACATGTTGATACTACATCTTGGTTTTAAAGAAAGCCCAATTAAAGTCACAGTAATAGATATGCAGTTAAATAGAGATTGCACTAACAACCTACATTTTCATAGTCTTGAGCAGGCTGCTTAAATAATCAGCACTCAGTAACAGACCTGGTCAGGCACACCAACTCTTTCTCTGCAAAACTGAACTAAAATCTCAATCAATCTTATTAGCTTTCCCAATTATCTTCTGTAAACGACAAAACCCTATTCTCCCAATGTAATAGATTTTTAGATTGTAAGCCCTCACGGGCAGGGCCCTCCTTACCACCTTGTCTTGAATTGTATTGTGATTGTAATGTCTTTCTTATATATTGTAAAGCGCTGAGCAAACTGTTGGCGCTATATAAATTCTGTATAATAATAATAATAGAGAGGAGGAGATGTTTGTAGTCCAGATCCAGAGAGCAGACTAGGATGACAATGCTGCTCCTACATAAGTACAGTACGGTAAGTGAACTTTGTCACCCTAGGAGTGTGTTACTGGCAGGATTATCGGGTAAAGAAAGCCTGATAAAACTACACTATAAGTCTTCGAACATCTTCCTAGTTAAAAGATGCAGGAGCCATTTACTGGAGGACTCAAGTTTTTATGTTTCTTTTATTTTTTTCAGGGGAATGCAGAGTCGCAGACTGTCAGCAATCTCTCTTTATAGTCTGTAATCGTCCGCAGCGGTCTGTGTCACCTCTGACAGCCCATTACAGCTGTGAGGAAAGATCGCTGACAGTCAATGAGTCTGCAGCGGGGAGGGGCACGGGCACAGCAGGGGAGGGCTGAATTGAATGCAAACTACTTCAAACCTCACTTCAGATTTAATTCAGAGGCATTGATCTGTTTGTTAGTAAAACAGGTCACCATGTTTAAACCTTCTAGTGCAAATCCCATTGAGTCTACGTTGGTGTCTGCCTCACATATGGCTCTGGCCAATAACATAATGCTGGACTTTCAGGTGCTGAGGGTAGAGAGGCTGCTAGAGTACCGATTCCCACCCCTCTTCTCTCTCTAGAAAAAGTTTTATATCAGAGCCCAATTTGTGTCTAAGCCCATCAAAACTTCACCCAGATGCACTGGCAAGGGTGTACAGCACAGGATCTTGAGACAAGTGGCTGAAGTTCCACCTAAATGCACATGCAAGTAGGCTGCTGGACACCACATGTATAAGGCTGTGTATAACGTTTTAAATATAAGATAAACTGAATGTGTCTTGAGTCCTAAATTGTACCTTTTCTTAGGAAACACTGAGGCATCCCATTGCTTAGACTCTTAAAAATGCAGGCTACCTTGCTTTTATGTCGACCCCTTGGCTTCAGTAGATTCTGGGTCATTGACACATAACAAGTATGCAGTTTAGGAAAGTCAAAGTAAATTTGGAAGACCCTATCTGCATACTTGTTCCAGGTTTGTGGGTTAGTGTTGAAGACAGAGTTTCAGCATGACAGCCAGGCAGCTTCTCATTTGCAGAATAAACATTCTCATTTGCAGAATGAGAAGTCAATAAAAGCAGCCTTCATGTTTCTCCCCGGAAACATTTCCTTTAGGTACTACTTCCCTGAAAAGCAGTTGTAGTACACTGATTGTATTTTGTTGTTGCCCCCAAATCTCTTCCTGGTCAACTTTTTTAACCAGACAGAAGTGAAAGAATCTATCCAGTAGAAACTCCAATGGAAGTAAAACCTGACAGGAGTTCTAATCCTTCACTATTCTATCCAAAACTAAAAAAAAAAGCTTTGGCTTAAGAAATGATCTGCTACTTAGACTATTGCTTAGAAGACATGGCCCACAGTTCAATTAAACTGGGCTCGTAGCTGTCAGATAGCATGCTGTGGAAAACAACTAGGCCAGCGGAATGAAAGTCTTCTGCGGACAGTTTGTTGTCTAATGTCCACATTCTTTAAATATCAGCGGGCTTTAGCAGGTCTTTAAAACCTATTAAATCAAGTGGAAGTCTGCGGTCACTGCAGTTTGTCTGCTGCTTGTTGGCTTCTAGCAGTCAGCCAAGTGTAGCATCCGTGTTTCTCCACTGTATGTCTCTCCTTGGATTGTCGTGTTCAGGTCATGCTCCAGTCAGTGGTCACACCACCCATTTTGTTCATGTTCATGTAGTGTGTCTAATGA